GATTGGACCTGCACTGGCGGCCGGCTGCACAACTGTCTGCAAGTCTCCTGGCGAGACGCCATACACGAGCTTGGCACTAGCCGAGCTGGCTCACAGGGCTGGAATACCGAAGGGTGTTGTGAACGTCATCACGGCATTGGGGAACACACCCGAGGTTGGCCAGACTTTGACCACTCACCCAACGGTGCAGAAGGTGTCCTTCACCGGGTCAACGGGTGTAGGCAAGCTGCTCATGAAACAAGCTTCGTCGACGTTGAAGATTTTGTCAATGGAGCTCGGCGGTAACGCGCCTTTTATCGTATTTGATGATGCCGATCTGGATGCTGCTGTTGCTGGTGCCATCGCATCCAAGTTCCGCTCCTCGGGCCAAACTTGCGTCTGCGCGAATAGGATCTACGTGCAGAATGGTATTTACGATGAATTTTCAAAGAAATTCGCCGAGAAGGTCAAAGGATTCAAGGTCGGCAACGGTTTTGAAGAGGGTATCACACACGGGCCCCTAATTCACGAACGAGCTATCGCTAAAGTTGAGGCACACATCAAAGATGCTGAGCAGAAGGGCGGGCAGGTCGTTGTCGGCGGTCAGAAGCTACCCGATTTAGGTGCTAACTTCTATCAACCTACTGTTATCACCGGCATGACCAAGGAGATGGCGATTTCTTCCGAAGAGACGTTCGGTCCGGTTGCAGCATTGTTCCCGTTCGAGACTGAAAAGGAAGTTGTTGATCTAGCAAATGCTGCAGAAGTCGGTTTGGCGGGCTACTTCTTCTCGAGGGATCTTGAGAGAGTCACTCGCGTCGCCGAGGCTCTTGAGGTAGGAATGATTGGTGTCAACACAGGATTGATTTCGGACCCTGCGTCACCATTCGGTGGTGTCAAGCAGTCTGGTTTTGGACGGGAGGGGTCAAAGTATGGTATCGAGGAGTATCAGAACATCAAGATGATAACCTACGGTGGGATGGGCAAGCCGTTGCAGGGGTCGTAGACAATCAGGTGTTCCTGCGCAAGTGTATCTGGAGAAAACGAAGAGAGATGTAATGGCCAATTAACCTAAGATTCGATGTATGTGATCCGTGGTATAGAAACACATAGCTATGGATGTTATAGAAAGGCCAGCATGGGCGTCAAATTTTCCGCATAACTTGCTCACACGATTCGGACACCACGTAATCCCTCCACACCAAACTCTGTCCATCGATTTGTCGATATGATTGAAGCTACCTAAGCAGCGGCTCCTGACCCCGTTCTATGACTTTATAGCACTCTTAAATTTGGCCGCTTCCTAGAAAGTGGTGCTCCAAACCATGAAGCTCATGATCAACTCCTAACGTCCAGTAGCTTCCTCGTTCGCTCCGAGTCAACCTCCTCGCCCGTGTTTACAGTCCCAATCTTCTCCACCATCATGATACTCGCATTCTTCGCCACCGGCCTATGTCTAACCCCCTTTGGCACCACGAAGACATCACCTACTTTCGTCACCACTGGGTCCGCGTCCTCAAGTTCCATGGTGAGCTCCCCGGCTAACAAGTAGAACAGCTCGTCCGAGTCTGGGTGTGCGTGCCAGATGAACGCCCCGTCGATCTTGGCAATCTTGACGTGCTGGTCGTTCACCGACGCGACTAGGCGCGGAGACCAGAGATCCGTGAAGGAGGAGAGCGTGGAGGGTATGGATATTGAGGACATTGCCGTGTTTTTGATGGTATATGTAAGTATTTGGCTGATTTGAGTGGAGCCGATGCTAGGGCGGGAAGAAGGTCTACAGTTGCTTTGATTGAGTATGGCTCGGTTTTCGTTTGAGCTCTTGCGAGCAGAAATTTTGATGCAGTCATTAAGTAGCAATACGAATGGCTTGAAAGCCGAGGAATGGCTGTGCATATATATAATCCTTCATGCACATCAATTTGATGCCTGTGAGTGTCAAGAGTTTTGCCAAATGAAAACTTGGGCAGCAGAGCGGTATGTAAGTCGAAAGGCGCGCTTTTGGCATCCCTGACAACCACCACATTGCATGGTATCATCCGCAGAATACACAACAAGGATGCAGTCTCAGTGTCGCTTAGCCGCAAGTATCAAGCCTCTATCTAGCTTCCTCGGTGTTCTGGCTCCTTTACGAAGTTCTGTAAGATAGTTATACTACTGCCATAGACTTAAATACTACGAATCGGCTCATAAGGGTTGAATTGATCTTTCTCACAATTGAAGAGCCGCGACTGAATTGGCTGTATGTTTGATGTGTTACCTTTCAGTTGAGTCCCGTCTCGACCTAGACAACGTAGCCAGCACTGAATCCCCCCTGTTGAGTTATCGTTGGGTTTTTCTATTCGTGTATCTTCATTTCTAAGTACGTCAAGCAGGCGTAATGACCAACCCTTCAAGGTCCCCTTTCTCTCTCCAAGCCTCAACAACCTTCAAGTACTCTGGGAGCCCAGCCCCCCAAGGCGCCGCCTTTATCTGCTTCAGCTGCTCCTCGGGCGGCATCTCCATTCCCTCCAGATTGAAATAGCTCGGCGTGCATCCAGTCAGCGCCGCCATGACGAGAGCTCGTTTCACGATCTCCCCTGTCCAGGCTTCTTCGGCCTCAGGCGTAGCCTCGATGGCGAACCTAGCCTCGGCACCAGCCTTGCGGAGGGCCGTCCCGATGATACCGGCCACATGTGTGGCGATGCAGTCGCCCGTGAACCCGGTGTTGGCTGCAACACCGGACTGTGCGAAGCCCTGGAAGAAGAGATTGGGGAACTCGCGCGTTGTCACGCCATGGAGCGTGGTCAGACCCTCGTTGAACTTGTCTTCGAATTTTCGCCCAGACCGGCCGGTGATGCTGATGCCGGCCTTGTGTGCTGGACTGCCGATGAAGACAGCACGGAACCCGGTGCTGAGGATGAGGACGTCTACGTCGTACTCGTTTCCTGGCAATTTTATGCCTGTAGGGGTAAGAGCGCTGAGGCCTTTCCCGTCCGTATCAACCAGTTTGACATTTGGTCTGTTAAAAGTCTCGAGATAGTCGTCGTGGAAGCCCGGTCTTTTGCACCACCCGGGATACCACGGCTTCAGCTTCTCCGCGACGTCCTTGTCCTTGACGATAGAATCTATCCTCGCGCGAATCCGCTCCTGTCGTGGTAAGTCAGTCGCGTGTAACTGCTCCAAAAATCGAGGGAGTGTCTCCATGGTGACCGCGGTAGGAGTACCCATGAGACCACTGAAAGACGAGAAGTTGGACCAGGCATCGTCGACCAAGTTTTTCCCTGGCCCCGGCGCTGGAGCCATATGCTGGCGGCAGAAATTGATGTTGCGATCCTTCTGCCAGCCTTGCTTGGTAGCAATCTCTTCTTTGAACGCGGCCGTGTCTGTCTCCCGCTGGTCGCGGTAGTCCACCGCGGTCGGGGTTCGTTGGAAGACGTAGACTTGCTTGGCGCATTTCCCGAGATGCGGTAACACCTGGACAGCGGTTGCTCCAGTCCCGATGATCCCTACTGACTTGTCCTTTAGTCCGGCCAGGATCGGGTCCTCAGGGGAGCCACCAGTGACGTCGTAGTTCCAACGCGAGGTGTGGAACATATGCCCCTTGAACTCATCAATTCCAGGAATTTTTGGTATCTTAGGATGATTCAGGGGCCCCGAAGCGACGATAGCGAACTGAGACCGGATGCTAAACTTTTGCTCTTCTTGCCCTTTTGCTTTCTGTAGTAGGTCAATGGTCCACTCCTTTGCCGTGTCATCCCATTCCATGGTCTGGACATGAGTTTGGAAGAACGCATTGTCCTTGAATCCCCATTTCTCCGCGATTAGATTGAAATAAGATCTGATCTCCGGTCCATACGAGTACCGATGCTTGGGTACATACCCCGTCTCCTCGAGCAGCGGCAGATAGCAGTAGCTTTCTACATCGCACATGAGGCCCGGAAAACGATTGTAGTACCAGGCACCCCCAAAGCCACCAGCAGCGTCAGCCAACCGAATGTCGGCCGGATCGATGCCCTGCTGGACCAGTCTCACGGCAAACATGATGCCAGTATAGCCGGCTCCAAGAATCAAGACTTTGCATTTTGAGTCTTTCGGGATGTTGAGCTGCGATGCCGCCGGTCCTTCCTGGTCTACCCATGGATCTGCAGCGAATTGCTTGAATGTCGCCGAAGAATCTAGGTCAATATACTGATCATAACGCTCAGGCCTCAAACGCTTGTCGCGTTCTTCGGCGTACTTCTGTTGGATATTTGGCATCGAACCCATTGTGCTTGCTGCGTCCCGCTTTCTCGCTCGCTGTGGAGTAGAAGGGGAATGCGAAGTACACCGCTTCATGGTTGCTCTCAAGGATATTAATACTTCTCACATCCAGGGAAGCCGGTCGCGCCATGACCCCAACGTAATGCGATGCTGATCCAGACAGGAAGGATTTGTCCATAGTGTAGCCAATGTAAGCACGATGCTGCGCGCCTCGTATAGCTCGGATAGTTGTGTAAGTCAGCCAATCAGATGATCTCGGTCGGTCGGTTACACTAGTAAGTAGGCAACTAACTTGGTTAGCTTTTTCATGCGACCAGTGCAAGTAAAACTTTAAGCCTATCAAATGTCTTGAGCTTCGTGGCATAGTCATATTGTAATGGACCTAGGTAGTATATATAGGTCGTTGCGACCTCCGGACCCCTGTGCATAGAAATCTGACCATGATTTATTCGATTCTCCACTTGGGCAAAGGCCCCTGTTCTCACCAGAGACATGCTTGAAATGGGTAGGGAACCTAGTCATCGAACAGATTTGCACGTGAGCCTACCTGAGACACCTAACTACAGTTTACTCCTTCCTGTCAAGAGTCTGTTGCCGTTCATATATAGAAACCTGAGTATTCAAACTCACGGGTAATCACGGCAAAAGTTGCAGCGCCGCCACATTCTTGATAACGACAACCAAGTAATTGTCGACGCTCTAACTTAGTGTAGGGGAACGTAAAAAAAAAGTGATAATTTAGCTCAAAACGAAAAAGAAGCCTCTGATTTCTGCAAAACTGTTCACTGCAGGGATCGAACCTGCGATCCTATGCGATCAGACGTCGAGTATAGATCCTGTAAAGCATATGCCCTAACCACTAGGCCAAGCGAACTAGGATAGTCGTCAACCGGCTTATGCGTGTACATGTTACGTGCATAACTGGCTCGTGCATCTACGGCCGAAGCTTGGAATTTGCAAGCTTCGTTGAAGCTTGTCTCGAAACTTCCAACACCAAGCCACAACTATGAGAGGCACCAGAACCACCACAACGCTGCTACGACAAAGCACTTCTCTCTGGGAGTTCAGGGGAGTGTATGTCTTGCTGATTGGCAGCTCCAACCATATGTAGATTTCGAACTTACAAACCCAGCAGCGCCCAACATGTCCCCCGGCCCGCCTTTAGAGCGTCGACGAGTTCCTCCACCACTCACCAAGTCGGCCTGAACCGACGCACCCTGCACACGACGCCTGTACACCTCAAAAAAGGAGCGACACGCGAGAAAGCAAAACCGAGAGACGCGCCTGCCTCCTCGACTACCTCCGCCGACTCCCCATCTTCATCCTCGCAACACCCAAAGCCAAACCCGGAAGACGTTCTTGATTTCGCGGACGTGCGGTCCCGCATACAGAAGAACGATGAGTCAGCCCAGGACGCCCTCAAGAAAATAAAGACGGGCGGGCGCTTCAACCCGGACCACATCGGCGCGTTGAAGGTGCAGCCCGACCGCAAGGACGGGGCGGCGTACCCGATCCGCGAGCTGGCGCAGATTGTGCCGAAGGGCGGGCGGACCATTAGTATCTTGGTCCATGAGCCGGACTATGTCAAGCCGATCATGAGCGCCATCCAAGCCAGTAAAGACTTCAACCAGCAGCCGCAGCGGGACCCGGATAACGAGCTGGAGTTGGTGCTGAAGATCGAGTTGGAGAAGCGGGAGGATGTGATGAAGAGGGTTAAGGGTGTGTGTCATGAGTGGAGGGAACGGATTAGGTCTGTCAGGCAGAAGAGGGATAAGTTGCATGTCAGCTGGAAGAAGGAGGCGCTTATTGGGCCAGATTTGAAGAGGAAGGCCGATACCGAGTTGGACAAGGTTATTAAGGCCAAGATGACGGAAATTGATGCCGCTGAAAAGGAGGCGATGAAGGCCGCTGAGGGCAAATGATGTATGATATGCCGTGTATTCATGGGTTTGAAGGGACCGCAAGCTAGACTGGGGTCACCTAACAGTTGTTCTGTTTACTATATGGTGTTGCAGCAGAGAAGTTCGAACTGGGCCACCAATGTGAGTTTTTATGTACACTAGACTAGACAGATGTTGTTACAGTGTCTTGTGATGTTACAAGATTGTATTCCTCTGAATCCACGAACACCCTCGATGCGTCCTGGCTAGATCCTTAAGCACTATTTCCCTTCGGCTTGGCGGCAGCACCACCTGTAGCCTTAACTGGCAAAAGACTCCTAACCTTCTCCTCAATGCTCCTCTCAGCACCGGCATTCCACGTCCCATGCCTTTTGACGTAGCTCCTGACAGTCCCCACTGTATCGGTACGCTCAGCGAACTGAGGCCCCTCATACTTGCCCAAGAAGGCTGAATCAAGGACAGCTATCTTGGTCTCCTCAGGCGCAGTCTTGAACTCCATCTTGACAACCGTCTCCACCCAGGCCTTAGCTTCAGGAACGGGGAAGAACACGCCAGCGTTTTCCTTGTACTCAGCCTTCGCATCCCGGGGTTGCATCCATTCCTGCGGATGGTAACGCCGTCCACCGCCTAGCATGCGTGCCTGGAAGAGCGCCGTAGCACTCTGCGCCAGTGGCGTCGATCCTGTAGCTACAGCAGGCGCGTAGCCAGCTAAATCGGCGAGCAGATCTTTTGGTGAAGTCGGATTATACTGTGCTTCGACACCCGTCTCGAGGCCCTCGAGATACGCAGTAACTTCAGGCTCTTGCTCTTCCTGTGACATGAAGCGCCGATACTCAGCATCCTCGTCCTTCTCCCCAGGCGTTTTGCGACGTCCCAGGCGGCTCGGTCGGTCGTCTGAACCGCCTCGCCCTCGCCCTCGCCCTCGCCCTCGTCCGCGTTCCCTTATGCCACCAGCTCCACCCCTATCGCCTCGGGTAGCAAATCCGGTCCCACGACCTCGTCCTCGAAACCCACCACGTATTACGCCGCCGGAACTATCAGAGGATGGGCTTGAGGAAGGCGCAGGCATGTCATCTGCTGTGACCTTCCTGATCCCCGTGAACCGGCGCTGGAGTCCACCTCGGAGTGCGTTGACCTTGATGACCTTGGGGATCTGGGGTGCTCGAGCTGGGGAAGCAGACCGTTCTGGCTCCGAAGGCCCATCGTTGCTTGTTTTACTCAGCGGCTTCCGCTCTTCGTTCATCGAGAGTAGCTCGCTGGCAGCGGCGGCAGAGCGTTGGCGACCCGTCGGTCGTGAAGGGCTGTCATCGCTGTAGCAGCGAGCTTGTGCGATCGAGAACTGCCGTAGGGACGTTGCGATGCCATCCGCGACTCGAGAGAGGTCTGACCTGCCCCGGCCGAGGGCCGAATGTATAGGATGTCGGATCATTTGCGCAATTGGGTTGTTGTTCGACCCGTTATTTGGGCAGGGAAATTTTAGTGAAGCGAAAAGTGAAGCTTCAGTTCAAGGGCCCGAGCTTTCCACACAGTTGGATTGGAGTTCAATCGCACAGTCCCGCCAGGATGTTCAAGAATTCCAACTTCCCGTTCTTCATCCAGGACTTCAATCTAGCAAATACAAATGAACGAAGCAACATCTACATAAATAAGTAAGACGCTAGATTGCTATACTATGTGCATTACTTCTTGAATTTGGCTTCGGCAGGGTCAACTTCGGCGTTCTGGTTGACAGCCGGTGATCTTCAAGACTTGACTTGGATTCACACAGCTTCAAGCCACGACGAGCAACAACATCTGGATACCAAATCCCCGGGCTTTCGTAGCTGACTTATCATGCTCAGGCAGGCGCTTTTGTAGAGGAAAGACTACGAGCACGCGATTTCCAAGCCTCTTTCCCATTGTTCCTACAAATGACAAACCTCGAGGGTATGCGGTATTGCAGTGCATGGCTCTTTGAGTATTGACCGACGTCGAGTACAGTAAATGCTAGGTCAATCGTTCGAGAAAAGTGTGTGAAAGATTGATACTTATTGATTAAAACCTATAGTCTATCTTTCCTGGAAACATCGAACTAAAGCCCCCGGTCACTTGTAACGGAATGAAATCAAATTTCGGAACTTGAGACTATAAATCAGCAAACCCAAACCGCATACAGCCCTGGGAGGAATGGGAATATATTCGCCATTACAAGATCATGGTCATCTACCGGTTACAGCATTGAAATCTAGCGAGAAAGAGCCAACTTGTATATAACATCCGAGGCCTTGTTTGTTACCTGATATACGAGGTTTGGCGGAGAACTCACAGAAGATGCCACGGAGGACTTATAACAAAGGTAGTTGTTATGAAAAAACTGTAGAAATATATTATCGGATCCACTGCTAAGTGGTTTATAGCTGTTCTACCTCTCGCCGTTTGTTTGACATCCCCTTATCCAGCCCATGTGAAAGTGGTATCGTACTCCATCTGTAGTCAGATTGCAGAAAACATCTGGTCACTGAGCCACAGATCACGGAGTTCAGAAGATATGCCACTGTTCCGCCACAGGAACACCAATCAGCATGCCATCGAGCTTCTAAAGCAAGATCTGAGACGAGTTCGTACTGACAGCCGGGCTGGCCGGCCTTCCCTGACAAAAGGACGGAAGTTATGACAGTAAGTATCAATAAGAGACGCTAGACTATGTTCATGAAGGGTGAAAGTGCATATGCTTCGATTCCTTAAGCTCTGCTAGCTATATCAATGACCCCTTACGTGCCACCGACGCCCCCTCGAGGTCGGATACCAATTCACGATCTGCTTCACACCCGGAAGCGGGACAAGTACACTTCGTCGTACTCCTATAAGCTGCCGATTGCCTGTCAATCTGCCTGATTTCATGTTCGTAAACGCAAACATGGGCAAACGAGCCAAATCCATGGGGAGAGCGAGATCACGCTGGCTTGGTGCTATACCATTGTGCCTGGCCCTTACCTGACCATGTCTTTTCTACGATATAGGTTACGCTTAGTCCGTCCTATTCAGCTGGATAAGATACCTGGCGAATCGAACAAGCAACCTCTAGACTATAAGAAGCGAGCCGCCAATATGAACCCTTGAAGTAACAAGTCTGAATTTGTGAAACATTGGGTATTTGTTTCTATATAAATGGTGTAACTACTCAAACAGAGATACCAGTCTAAGTTCAATTTTAAGCGGTGGATCTTGTATTTTAGATGTAAATGACCACAGAGGTATGATACTTGCCTATAAATGCCTGTGAGGGTTTCCTTGGGTACTTCTACAATGTGGGCGATATTATTGCTAATCCGTTATGACCATGTGATCTGGTTGTACTCTCACCTACCTGATTTGTCAAGGCGCTGCACAGCACGTGTTATTTGGCTTTCTCTCCTTGGCTATGAGTCCTCAGTCAGGTAAGTATATGGAGATCCGCCTTCTTCTTACCATGACCATATCTATCATATCTCTAATCACTTGATCTGGCTCAATCTTCCGCACCGGTCGACGCACTCGAAGCTCTATGAACGACACACCTCCATCTATTGCGAAAGCGCGTCCCTCATCCGCGGTCGTTTGCTAGTAGACTTAGAAGGCCGGAGTCCACAGCCAACCTTTAAACATTATTTGAGCAAAGCCGATGAGACTCTTAGAAGGGGAGAAGTTGCTCACTGTAAATACCTTTCTGCCCCCACACCTTCGAGCCCACATACGGCGAGCTTGATGTAGGCAGCGATTCAATGGTCTGCTTAATCGACGTTGGGAATGTGGTACTGGTCGGCTACGAAGTGCTGGATATGGCTTGTTCCGTCCTGATGCCGCGGAGGAGGCCTTTGTTGTCCCACGAATAGATAACTTGATTGATGTAGATTTAAAGCTTATATGTTCTCGGTCAACGGCAATGATTCCTTTCTCTGGAGAACTGCGAATATTCATTCTTTTCAGGTATTCGGCTACGCCAACGTTGTTAGCT